CCTGAGGAACACCAAACTTAACAAACAGAACTTGAGAACTGAAACTCCGAAGACAGATAAAGTAGCAGCTATGAGTGAGATAAGAGCTGATCCATTTAAGTGTGATGTCTCCAAACACCAGCTTCCTAGTCTTCCCAATTCACAGTCTCAAGATGTGAGAGTAAAATGTCATGATTAACAGTGTCAAAAGCAGCTCTTAGATCTAAGAGAATTAGGACAGATAGAGAACCAGAATCAGCTGCCATACGAAGATCATCAGTAACTTTAACAAGGACAGTTTCTGTTCTGTGTAGTTGTCTGAAACCAGACTGAAAGGGATCAAGAAGGTTATATGCAATGGGGTGATTTTTAAATTGTATTGTTCTAAAATTCTAAAATTTTCTCAAGAAAAGGCAAGTTATAGTGGATACAGGACTAAAATTGTTTGGTTGTCCACAGCCATGTTTGCTTTTTTTAGGCACAGGCATAACTGAAGGTATTTAAAAGGCTGTTGATACCACTCCAGTGCTCAAGCGCTGTTTACCTGTTCTATGTCACATCTTACATCAGTCCAAGAAACTGTGGCTTCAATAAGCACATAGCCCACTATGAATCCATTGATAAAGCACGAATTTCTGATACATACTGTTTATCCAGGATTAGCCAGTTACAGAATCAGCTTGTCCACTGAAAGGCAAGTTCGTAAGGCCCATCTGGTTTTATTTCAGACAATGCAAAGTGTTATTGGCTTACCTCATGTTCATGCTTTTGCAAAGCACCACTATATTCAACCATGCAACCATGAGTGAAGATACTGTAAACCAGAAACTCCATACTGTATACCCAACAGTTCTCTCAATTAAAAACCTTAATTAAAATATTGATTAGAAACTGGAGGTACAAATTTAAAGAGTATTTTCCTACCATTTACATTCTTAATTTTTGGAAAGAGAAACTTAAAGAAGAGGTCCGTGGTAATTTTAGAGTTAGCGTGTGCTGGTTGATCTGAAGCATGAGATTCTCAGACATTTCTTCTTATTAGGACGGAGCTCGATGAAGGTTGTATTGTAAATTAATTTTCCATGATGACAGTGGTTATGATCACCATGTTATTGCCTGCTGGTGTGGTTCTCTAGGATGTACTTTATCTAGAAAGTGAGCAATTGTTTAAAGATTTGTGGTCTGTGACTGATAGTGGAAACTGGTCTGCAGGGACCACAAATTAGGCAACGTTTTAACATCTCTTGTATGATTAATGGTGTAAAATAATTTATTTCTGTGAGAAGGCTGCACTCTATTTATTACGTGCAGATTGCTGTTATCCTTTTACGGAGGTATCTGAATAAATATAATATGTTTCTGTGATTTATTGCTTTTTGTTGTCAAATCAAAAGTAATTGCACAACGGTTAACCTAAAGCTCCAAGTACAGCAAATTGCTTAGGGTCACAAAAACAACGTGAATCACATTATTGCATTCGAAGACTCTAGGAGAATTCCACCTGAAAGAGGGCACAAATGCAAAGTAAAATAAATGACTCACAAGACCGACTTCCCTTTTGCCGTTGTTCCTGGGATGTGCACAGTGAAGGATGCAAGTGCAGAACCCAGGAAAACACAGTTCATCCATCCCTCTCACCAGTGCCAGTGGGCAGCCAGTTTGCTAACCACCTTATCCGGTTCTGGGTAACACGGGGCTGAAGCCTATCCTGACAAGCAATGGGGAGCAAGGCAGTACCAACCCTGGGACGAAGGTCAGACTACCACACAGCACCCCCCGACAAACACGGACACACACACACAGCATAGCCATTCTTCCAAGAAGCCTATTACTGTACCGGTACGTCTGCGGACCGTGGGTTTGAAGCCGGAGCACCTGGAGGAAACCCAAGCCAACACAGGGAAAACATACAAACTGCACACAGGTAGCACCCCAGAGCTTGAAACTCAGGGCCCCAGTACGGCCAGGCAGCAACGCTAACCCCTGCGCCACCATGTGGGGAACGTGAACTTGAACTTTATTGCCATATGTAACCGGTACTGGTACAATGGAATTCTTACTTACAGAAAGTCTCTCGATTGTAAAACAAGTGTAAAAAACAAAACAAAGTGCAAACAGTGCATCAAGACAATGGTACAAACAAACAATAGACAATGTGCAAGTAAACATGCAGACAGTTTGAATGTAACTTTATATTCAAACTGGGGGTGAACTCTATATGCGACTAATTGACATACCAGGCCCCACCTCTTTCCTTAATTTGCAGGAGTCAAAATTGAACTCTTAGCAGGCACAGGACCGTCTTTCACTTGTTTTTTTAACAAAAAAAGTTGATTACGTCGAAATTAAAATTCATCAGCTTACAAACTAATTAAAGAGCACATGGTGTGTAGTTGGCCAAGAGGAACTGCCACTAGTTTGTTGTGAACCTAACTGATAATCAACAAGTGAACATTATTAAACAGAAAATACTCCGGCAAAATAACCTCCACTTGATTTTGATGAAGTCTGGCGTATCAGAGTTTCACCCATCACATACCCTGGGCTCACTATCGGGAGAGCTTTCTTGTTTCATGTTTGTTTGCAGCCTTGTCTGTTCAGACTGAGCAATAATCCAATTTTACCCTTTTTGCAAACACAGATTTGATTGCAAATAAATGAGCAATAGAACGTTTGTCTGCTAATATGGAAATAAATCAGAATTAAGATATTTGCCGGTTTGTTGCATTACAGGGGAAATATGAAAATATTCACACAGGCTTGAGGTTATTAACATGAAATTAAATGTTTATTTTACACACAGGGTAATTTTCTAGGATGAGGCTCATGCAACTGTTTGGTTCTAAATTCAATTAGTCTTCTGGTAGATGCTGTGCTAATGCAAATTTAATGTGTCGTAAGGTACTGCACCAAGAAAATCTGCGCTGAAGTTACAATAGCAGTATAGTGTTTTACATTCGGAATTAGCCTTTACAGTACATTAAAATCTGCTCCAGAATCAAGCAGCTCATGTGCAGGCAAGCAGGCGACCAGGACGACACTGAAAGGCGCTGTATTTGAACTCAATAACTTTTATTTTCATGTTAAAAATCATGTACATGGATATCCATCAGTGTAGTTCAGTAGAAATGAAAGCAAAAGCAAATTAGAGTACAACTGCGAAACCGTGTGGGAAAGTGCTGGGGTGGGAAAAGTGGCCGAAATGTGAGGAAGGCAGGAAAGCCTCATATAACGTGCATCCGTCCGGCAGCTGTTTTACAAAACATCTGCATTGCTTGTATTTTGTCATTCCAGGGTCGGGGCTCAATGACGGCCAGTGGCACGATGTACGTTTCCTGGCTAAAGAGAACTTTGTCATGCTGACCATCGACAGAGACGAGGCCTCAGCCGTGAGGACAAACACTCCAGTCCAGATCAAGACGGGAGACAAATACTACTTTGGAGGTATATTTCTTTTTTCCTTTTCTTCTGGCTTATCTTGGTTTTTTTTTTCTCGCAGTACAGACTCCCGGCAGCATTTAAACTAGGCAATGTTTTAATTTTTCCTGATTTTTATCAAATACTCTCTCTGAGGACGAAGGCTCCTGTCCCAACAGCACCCCTGCGTGTCCAGGTAGGAGACCTGGACACTCCAGGATGAGTGTGTGTGTCCTGTGATGGACTGGCGTCCTGTCCAGGGTGAGCGTGTGTGTGTGCCCTGTGATGAACTGGCGTCCTGTCCAGGGTGAGCGTGTGTGTCTGCCCTGTGATGGACTGGCGTCCTGTCCAGGATGAGTGTGTGTGTCCTGTGATGGACTGGCGTCCTGTCCAGGGTGAGTGTGTGTGTGTGTCCTGTGATGGACTGGCGTCCTGTCCAGGGGGAGTGTGTGTGTCTGCCCTGTGATGGACTGGCATCCTGTCCAGGGTGAGTGTGTGTGTCTGTGTGTGTCCTGTGATGGACTGGTGTCCTGTCCAGGGTGAGTGTGTGTGTGTGTGTCTGCCCTGTGATGGACTGGCGTCCTGTCCAGGGTGAGTGTGTGTGTCTGCCCTGTGCTGGACTGGCGTCCTGTCCAGGGTGAGTGTGTGTGTCTG